TGGATTATGATGACGCGAAAAGCCAGCAGGGGGCTCAAGATCGTGCGGATGAGAATTTAGATGCTTTGAACGATCAAGAAAAGGAGAGAAAGCCATTGCTGGAGCTGAATAAAGAGAAAAGTGAGGTGTTGGGGACGAGCAGTGCCTCTATGGTGAAGCTGAGGAGGAAAAAGTGAAGTTTCTATTTTCTTCCCGCTTTTCTCGTTCTGTTGAATAGATAACTGATTTTTCCTAATGCAAATGGTATTCTACTGCTTGCTGAGACCTTTATTAGTATGCAAAACTTATATAAAATTTTCTCTTTGAAAAGAACTGGCAGATATTATTTTCTTTGCAAAAATGAGATTTAGATAACCATATCGACTTTTGCAATACTTTTGCAATGCCTTCTACTTATATGTAAATGAACATGATTAAATTCTAGATGTAAATGAACATGATTAACATCGGCGTGGTTAATGTATGTATGTCCTTGCTGAAGGAATGGAGATGGAGAGAACACCCCAATTGGTGTTGATGTTAAAGGCCAAGAATCCGTGAATAAGTTGTTGCATATTCGGACTTGTCCCCCAACCCCACAGTGTTTTTCTGCCGGCCAGGGGCATTCTACGGCATCAACGCCCAAGCCGTCCAGGATTAGGCCTCCACTGGTAAGCTTCCTCTGATAATCATTACATCTTATTTGCTCCTCGGTTTAATTGGATATTGTTGTTGATGAATAAAATCCATAATATGCTCTGGAAGTCACATTTGTCAGTAACTTATCGTAAATAGGGTTATTGAGAAAAATGCATTTGAGCTTTGGTCTAGTTCTTTGGGAGAAAAGGGAATCAACTATTTTTCAAAACTTTAAAATGCTCACTTTTCTTCTAAAATTGTAATCAGAGGCAGTTTATGTAACTAAATTTGTGTTTATCTTGATGAGAGAGGTGAACTTCTGTAACTAATAGAGAAATATGAGATGAATTTACAATTTTTAATAGACAACAGGGTTCTATTATGTTATTTTACTGCATGGCCTGAATCTCAGAGCTGCTTTGCATATTATTCTGAGATATAAAGTGTTTTTCAATGGAGTTTGTTTTGTTGACTGTAAATAAACCGACATTATGGGCAGAATCAGGAGAGAGCTAGACTACAAGATGTGAAGGAGATGAACAAGGAGATAAACAGGGTTGCTGCTGAAAAAGATGCGAGATCTTTAGACGTCTTCTGGTTTCTAAAACCATGCACTCTTTCAAGTTAAGAAAATAAAATGATATAGAGGAAAAATTCCATTCTTTTCATTCTTTTGTTTATATTTTCGACATACATTTATTTTTTGTATTATCTGTTATTGATTCATTTCTTACTCCGGAGACTGGTTAAAAATAATAAAGTTGTTTACCGTGATGCTGTGTTCAAATTTAATTTTCAGCAAATAATTATGATTGCGA